GGTGGCGGGATGCAGGAGGGTGAGGATGAGGATGATGAAGGCTGATTCCCCCCCCCCGCCATGTTTTGTCCCCAGGAGGCCCGTGGGCAGGTGGAGGCCGGGCGGGAGGTGGCGGGGGGGCTGCGGCGGGAGCTGGGGGACAGCGAGCGGCGGCTGGGGACGCTGGAGCGGCGGCTGGAGCAGCTCGGGGCTGAGGCTGGGGGCTGCCGGAGGGCGCAGGAGGAGGCGCAGAGGGAGGTGGCCCGGCTGCGAGCGGAGAGCGAGGTCCTGCGCAGGTACCTGCTTGGCCGTCCGTCTGTCCCCGGCTCCGTCCGTCTGTCTCCAATTCCATCCGTCTGTCCCCAGCTCGATCCGTCTGTCCCAAGCTCTGTCCATCTCTTCCCAGATCCATCAATCCATCTGTCCCCAATTCCGTCTGTCCCCAATTCCGTCCGTCTGTCCCAAGTTCCATCTGTCTGTCCCCAGCCTCATCGATCCGTCCGTCCCCAGCTCTGTCCGTCTGTCCCCAGCTCCGTCCGTCTGTCCTGAGCTCCGTCAATCCATCCTGTCCCCAGCTCCATCCATCTGTTCCGAGCTCCATAGATCCATCTGGGCCAAGTTCTGTCTGTCCCCAGCTCCGTCCGTCTGTTCCCAGCTCCATCAATCCGTCTGTCCCCGGCTCCATCCGTCTGTCCCCAGATCTATCCGTCTGTCCCAAGCTCCATTGATCTGTCTGTCCCCAGCTCTGTCTGTCCTGAGCTCTGTCAATCCGTCTGTCCCCAGCTCTATCTGCCCGTTCCCTGCTCCATCAATCCATCTGTCCCCAGCTCCATCGGTCTGTCCTCAGCTCTATTGGTTTGTCCCCAGCTCCATCAATCCATCTGTTCCCAGTTCCATCCGTCTGTCCCAAGTTCCGTCCGTCTGTCCCCAGCTCCATTGGTCTGTCCCAAGCTCCATCCATCTGTCCCGAGCTCCATAGATCCATCTGTCCCAAGTTCTGTCTGTCCCCAGCTCTGTCCATCTGTTCCCAGCTCCATCAATCCGTCTGTCCCCAGCTCGGCCTGTTCCAAGCTCTGTCCGTCTGTTCCCAGCTCCATCGATTGGTCTCTTCCCAGATCCATCAATCCATCTGTCCCCAGCTCCGTCCATCTGTCCCAAGTTCTATCATTCCGTCTGTCCCAAGTTCCACTGGTCTATCTCAAGCTCCATCAATCCGTCTGTCTGTCCCAGCTCTATCTGCCTGTTTCCAGCTCCATCGATCAGTCTGTCCCAAGCTCCGTCCCTCTGTCCCAAGCTCCATCAGTCCGTCTGTCCCCAGCTCCATCAGTCTGTCCTCAGCTCCATTGGTTTGTCCCCAGCTCCATCAATTCATCTGTTCCCAGTTCCATCAGTCTGTCCCCGGCTCTGTCTGTCTGTCCCCAGCTCTATTGCTCTGTCCCAGCTCCATCCGTCTGTCCTGAGCTCCGTCAGTCAGTCTGTCCCCAGCTCTATTGGTCTGTCCCCAGCTCCATCAGTCTGTCCCAAGCTCCGTCTGTATGTCCCGAGCTCCATCAGTCTGTCCCAAGCTCTGTCCATCTATTCCCAGATCCATCAATCCATCTGTCCCAAGCTCCATCATTCCATCTGTCCCCAGCTTTATCCGTCTGTCCCGAGCTCCATCCATCTGTCCCAAGCTCCGTCAGTCCATCTGTCCTGAGCTCCGTCAGTTGGTCTGTCCCAGCTCCATTGGTCTGTCCCGAGCTCCATGAATCCATCTGTTACCAGCTCTATTGGTCTTTCCCAAGCTCTGTCTGTCTGTCCTGAGCTCCATTGATCCGTCTGTCCCCAGCTCCCTCCATCTGTCCCAAGCTCCATTAATCCATCTGTCCCCAGCTCCGTCTGTCTGTCCCCGATTCCATCCGTCTGTCCCAGGCCTCGTCCATCTGTCCTGAGCTCCGTTGATCCATCTGTCCCGAGCTCCATCAATCCATCTGTCCCCAGCTCTGTCTGTCTGTCCATGCACATCTTGTGCTGTCTGTCTGTCCCTCCAGCCCCACATATTCCACTCTGCATGTCTGTCTGTCTGTCCCTGTGTGTCCTGCCCTGTCTGTCTGTCCTTCTGGCCCCACATATTCCTCTCTGTATGTCTGTCTGTCCATCCCTGTGCGTCCTGCCCTGTCCGTCTGTCCCTCCAGCCCCACACATTCCTATCTGTATATCTGTTTACAGTCTGTCCCTGTGTGTTCTGCTCTGTCTGTCTGTCCCTCCAGCCCCACATATTCCACTCTGCATGTCTGTCTGTCTGTCTCTGTATGTCCTGCCCTGTCTGCCTGTCCTTCCGGCCCCACATATTCCACTCTGCATGTCCGTCTGTCCATCCCTGCGCATCCTGCACTGTCTGTCCATCCCTCCAGCCCCACACACTCCCCTCTGTCTGTCCGTCCATCCCTGCGCATCCCTCCACCCCTGTCGCATCCCACCCGGGACCCATCTCCCCGTCTGTCTACCCCCCCGTGTCTGTCTGTCCGTCCCTCCGCTCACCCCTGTCCATCTGTCCGTCTGTCCCCGGTGCCAGGGAGCGGCAGCGGGCGGAGGAGGCCCTGGCGGAGGAGCAGCAGCGGGTGGGTGCCCTGCAGCAGGAGCGGGCGCAGCTGCAGCGCCGGGGCCAGGGGCTGGAGGACGCCCGGGACGAGGCCACCCGCGTCGCCCAGGACACCCGCCAGAATTCCGTCTGTCCCCAATTCCGTCCGTCTGTCCCAAGTTCCATCTGTCTGTCCCCAGCCTCATCGATCCGTCCGTCCCCAGCTCTGTCCGTCTGTCCCCAGCTCCGTCCGTCTGTCCTGAGCTCCGTCAATCCATCCTGTCCCCAGCTCCATCCATCTGTTCCGAGCTCCATAGATCCATCTGGGCCAAGTTCTGTCTGTCCCCAGCTCCGTCCGTCTGTTCCCAGCTCCATCAATCCGTCTGTCCCCCGCTCCATCCGTCTGT